ACTGAGGTACTCACACAAATCTTTTTCTAAGAGGAGTCAGCAGCAGTAGTAATATTGCCCTAGAAATGTGATCTAGAAAAGCACACCTTTTTATCTTCTTAAAGCAGCCTTTCCAAACTTAATGCCAGGGACCCTGCCTTCTCTCCAAAGAGGAGCTGGATCTGATTTTCTCTCCCACTAATTCCAAACATTTACTGAAATATGTGGAAATGAATTGAATGTGTGTCCCCATTTCAAGCCTTTTCACGAAGTCTGACTGAGTTTTCAAGCTGCTGTTCAGCAAAAAATGCAAACACAGGTTTAGAGGCCCAGCACAACTGAGCACTGTCTTCATCAGTCATTTAATGTACACCAAATGGTCTTTGTGGTTCAAAAAGATTTTATGCAATGCTAAGCAAGGCCCTCGTTGTTTTTGCTGACTTGCAGTAAGCCAGTGGGATGCCAGGCTGCCACCATCAGAACAGCTGCCTCATTGGAAAAGTATTTCAGCAGGCCATGCCTTGTAACAAACGATATGACCCTGGAAGGCCGACAGCAGCACTCCTGCGGGCAAACAGCTTGCCAAAGGTCAAAGCCACCCAACGCTTTGGGATCAGCAACATCATTTCTGTCCACTCCACCCCTACCCAGAGTCTTAGAGCTGCAATGGATAAGTGAGAAAATACATCAGTGATAATATATCTTCTGCCAGTAAAGCACAAGAGAAGGGAGGGAAAGAGAGGAAAGCAGAGGAGAATGGGAATCCAGCTGTGAAGCTATTTACTCCGCCACTGAAAACAAAGCTATTCCCAGAAGTGCCACTTAGTTTGCCTCAGTCAGAACTGGGGTAGCAAAATGTGTGATATAAACTATTTCAGTTATGAAACAGGTTAGAGAGTGCTTATACAAACAGCCTCACTAGTACAGATACCTGCCCATTTTAATTTACAACCTTTCCCAGAACAGTCTCTGACTCTCTTTTTTTTTAAAAAAAAAAAGTTACTAATTTTCTTTCATCTTTTAGACTCTTGAGTTCTCCTGAAATACAAATCACAACTGCTTTTGTAAACTTCTTGTTCCATTCACAATGCTACATCAATAAAACAGTGAAGTAAAACTGCAAACATTTCAATTTTACTAACAATGTAAACAGCACCAAAAGGTTTGGGATCCTGCTCATCTACCTGTGACATTAGTAGTCAGTGGATGCTCTGTTGCTACAGTTAGAGAAAGGTCTTGCTCCTGTTGTTATTGCTATTGCCTTTTGAAGTGAAATGACAGTGGCACTCTTTCGAATGGCAGCATTTTACAGCAATTTAACTTCCTGCCTAAAGAAGGTAAATTGGCATGAAAATTATCTGGAAAGCACAGTCCCATACACACAGAGCATATCTATATCTATATATATATAAAAAGAGAGAGAGAGATAGATATATATACACACACATACTCACACATATATGCTGGCATTTTCAGTAGAGGCATGACATACAGCATATCTAGAAGGCCATAGGGATGAAGAATAAATTACTTGGCAAGATTATTTTCTAAAGCAACGTCAAGAAAAGGAAGCATTTCCTAAAAAAGCCTTCCATTACCCTCCAACCTCTCTTTGATGAGCAGTGCAGCTGATTTCTACCTTCATTCTTATTTACCTTCCATGAAAGCACCACTGAGGATCTAATGAAGAATGCTGGGTAATTCTGGCATTATTGGATTTTTTGTTATTTATTTATTAGATATAAGAGCTGTTATCAGCAAGCAGCCAGGTGAGTCAAATCAGATACAGCATTATCTGATTCCTGTGCTGTAAATCAGATTTTAATAGAGAAAAGATCTGTATCCCTTTGGGAATGGAAAGAATATGTTTATAATGTGTTCTGAGTATGTGCTACACAATAGCAGGTATGGATAAAAATATTTTCTCTAATCAATTTTCCACTTTCTTCTCCAAGTTCTTTCACTCATAAGATGAGAACTAAAATAAATGAAAATTCTGTTTGTGACGAGTGCTAGCAAACAACAAAGATAAGCATGCATAAAAACATGCATACATGCTGCATTCTCAAACAAACATACAAAAAAATACTGGATTCTGTAATATTAAAAGTCATCATTGTTTCTCTGCTAGCAGAATAACTTACAGATTTGCACCTGTACACTGGACACAGATAATGTTTGACTACCTCTTGAAGGTTTTACAAATTTTAATTGGCAGAGTAATCTAGATATGCTCAGGCAGAAACTGGTGTTAAACATCAAAAAGCTTGATGCAAAGCCAGCTCTGTCTTGTACAGCAGTGTTATTTGAATTTTGATTTGCTGGAAATTACTGTTTGCAAAAATGAGGGCTCCCCTACCACCTAATGCAAATTAGTTTACTGCCCAGATACCTAAATATTCTGAGGGCTCAAAAATTACTTTTTAAAACCCAACTTGTAAGGTCACATCCAATTTAATTCCATAACAAACTGGAGGAATAGGCCTTTCATATCATGTTCGGCTTAAAAATTCCATTTCTTTTATGATTTACACATGAAAATTAATTTATAACCACAAAAAAAAAATTATTCACTGAGGTTTACAATATATTTACACTGAGGTTTACAAAGGTGTGTGCTCAGACTGCTGTTAACGAAGCAACAGGCAAAGCTCTGCCATTGCTGCCATCAGCAGCAAGGCTGACATCCATATCACACTTCAGTATCTATTATTATGCTATTTCTTCCCAGCTGATCCTTTGCTTCTCTGTCCCAATTTACAGGAGGATTAATATTTTTTGAAGTAAGTGCAGAACTAGGGGCAGCATAAAAGTGCATTAACACAATGGAAGTTAATATCAAACTTTAACCATCAAAACGCAGGTATGATTTATTAGGGAAAATGTCGAATCAAGCCACAACCAACCACATGCTGTTTTGGAGATATTGGTTCCCCTTTTGGGGAATGTAACTGTACTTTAATTTTTTAATCAGAGTCTGAACAATAATCTTAATCAAAGGTTATTCTGCATTTGAATGAGTGAAAAGGTTAGCTCAAGTCACTTGGGCAAGAGAGGAGTTTCAGGTTGTAATGACCTTGATGTCTCAGATTGAGCTTCTTCAAGGAAGATCAGATAATTTTTTTGGTTTTACAGATATACCTGTGATTAATATGAAGAAATAAATGAAATAACTACAACCTGGGAGCAACATGACTATCAAGACAGAAAACAGCCTGTAACAGGATATGATATATATACATCACTAAGGAAAACACTGTAATGGTCTGCTCTCTTTCCTCCTGGAAAATAACAGCAAAAAGGGCAGGGAGAAGCAGAGATGATGGTGTCATGATAAGATGAAAGAAGCAGGAAAAAGTCACATAAATACTTTTTTGTCCCCCAGAAAAAAAAAAAGATGAAACTAAGCGTATTAAAAATCCACATAGGTCCATGTCTAGTTACAACCAACATTTAAGAAGCTGGTATCTTAACCCAACCCTAAAGAGAAAAGATATTTGCTGCCATTTCATCTCCTCCCTGCATCCTCCTCCAGCTGGCACAGCTGACTTGCAATCCCTCTCTCTTTAGGTTTAGCAGATCAGGCAATAATAACTTAGTAGTAATAAAGAAACAGAGCAGACAGACCATCCTTAAAGTAAATCTGATGAAATTTATGGAATTAAACTGAAAAAATTCTGTTTTATCTGAAAAACGGTTTTTTCAACTAATAAAAATCAGAAGAAAAGGCTGCAACTTCATTGCATCCACCACATTTTGATCCACAGAGTAGCCTTTTGCAATACAAGACAGGATTCAAAGAGGCTTACTTCATCAACATGAGGCTGGTTTGAGCTTCTTGTACCTCATTCTGAAGGACAGAATGTTTTCTGAGAAATTACTACCTCAGTCCAATGGGTCACAGAAGTTGCTGGACAGCAGGAGATGAGCAGATGAAAATTCAGTATGTTATATGTCAACTGAATTTATATGTACAAATGAAAATATCTGACTCTTTTTCAAAATAAGGGAATGTCTCTTATGCAATACATTCAGCTCTTTCAATCCAGTTTAAAAGGACAGAAATACTGCTAGCCAGACAACTCCTCATCTGGCAATTCTCCCACAATCCAAAACTAATGCCCTATTTATATCTTTTGTCATTAGAGAGCTACTAATGCCTACCACCACCTTAAGCTCTCAGTGGAACCAGCAGATGTTCTGCAGGATGGCACAGTGGGTCACTCACATCAGTTCTTAGCCAGTGAAGGCACTGCACTGCAGACTGTGAGAACAGCATGCCCTTCCTGCATGGAATGGCTCTAGAGCCTGGACATGTCAATCAGACTGAGACTAGAGCCTCTCAATTACTGCTTTGATCCCACTTAAATTTCAATGAATCTTCATTGAAAATATCCCATTACTTTGCTGTGTAAATACATCCCAAATGACTCAGTGTGGGAGGAAGAGGCAGGAGGATGAAGGTTGTTTCAATTTTTTTTGTGTCATAAAACCTCCTTTCTCTACAGATAAATGTCCCTGGTTCTTAATCAAATGGACTCTTTTTTCTACTTTCAAGTAAGAAAAAGGATCTATTCATTCAGGGTTGAGAAACAGACAATACACATGAAGCAGTTTGGGTGAAGTGAGGTAGCTTTAATAATCTGTATCACATTATTATTTGTCTGTTGTAACTTCATGGCTTATAAGCAGGAGTTTAGACACTCGTGGCTTCTTCTCCCTGGAGGGCAATGTATCAAGATGGTAATGTATCATGACCTCAACAAATGTTCTGTTTGAAGAGCACAATGACTCCCAAATGGAAAATGTGTCTTTGCCTGTGATATCTCAGGTTTAAACATATTTCTTTTGCTTTGTTTTTGTAAAAAACCCCCTTCATTTCAGAAAAAAAAATGGCCTGGCAGGGATTCAATGCCATGCTTCACCTCCAAACTTGCAAGGCCCTTCATCACTGGTGAAGCTGCTGCAAATGTAGGGCCAGGACTGCACCAAACCCACCGTCCCAGAGGCATCTCACTTACTGAGGTTCCATTTAAGGCCTGTCGTGGTCACACTCTCGCAGGGGTTCCCGATGGGGATGAGCCCACACCAGGAGCCGGAATATTTAGTTGCAGCAGGAAGTCAGGACATTGATGTTTACAGGGGGAGGAGAGATGTATGCTTAGGTTCCAGACCTTAGGGCTTTCAAAAGCTTGTTTCTAGGCTTTTCTAAGCAGAATCTAGCTTTGCTCATTCTTCCCTGGCATTATTTGAATAGGCCCTTCTGTCAAAGCTAGGTTCTTTATTTCCATGAAATGAAAGCATCTTGACCCATTCACCCATTTTTTTCCTTATCTAAACAACTGTGTTTCACTTACTAAAGAGTGCTAGTCAATGCACCACCGAAGTGCCTCAATTATTTTGTCATCTATAAAATTTCATGTACTTCTCCAGGCATGTACTCTTTCCAGAAGGAGGAATACATGCAGAAACTTAACTAGTTGCTAGAGAAATTAATCCAAGAATTTAGAGTAACCTGCTTACACTAAGTAATGAAAAAACAGAAATTAAAACTTTTTTTACATTCAAGATAAATTTATGTATTAACTAAAATGCTCATGGGATGCAGGAAAAGTAACAGCTATTAATGATTATGTTTTCATTATAAATCTCTTAATTAGCACTTACAGATCCTGTGTGAACATCCTATGGACAGTTAAAAGGAAGAGTAGATAGTAGAAATTGTTAACAGAATGGAAAGGTGCTGAGTGTTACAGTTCTGGCACAATCTGTGTTCTAAGAAACCAGGAAAGTGTTTATGGAAACCAGCTACAAGAAAGCAGCAAAAGAAAAGTAGTGACAAGATCAGTGAAGAAATCATCTTCTGGTCTCTCCTACACAGATAATTTATTCCTTCAGATAAGCCTGGGCTTCGTGTGGGAGAAGCTTAAGATTCTTTGAAATAGAGGATTTTTTGTCTTTTATTTTATTCTCCTGTGAATGCAGACAAGCAAAACTCTTGAGCACATCTTTTGCACACAAACTCTTCATCACTGTAAATAAAATCAGATATGCCTATTTATGAATATAACTTTTATCAAAATAAAAGGGCTCTGCAGCCCTATGACTAGTCAGTGAATACTTTGTTAAGCAAGAAACCAAGGTTTTATACCAAAAGAAATGAAGAACAGTTGAACCATAAAACTCAGCTAAATGTCCCAAGCAGCAAAAACAATCTCACAAATTTTCTTAGGAAAATGCATTTAAGCTTTATTCTCCTGCTCTGTCTCATCCTATGCTCATTTCACATGCTCTTGCAAATACAAAGTCACTAGTTAGAAAGTCAAAACTGTAGACGAAATATCTTATTGCTGAGACATTGATGTCTGAGGCATTCAACAGCTTCTCCTGTTAATGCCAAATGCATTATGAAGAAACAACTTCAATACATGTCATGCTCTCAGTTAACAAATGAACCTTGGAAAAGCTGTCAATTAGGGAATATCAGATTGCATAGCTTAAGCCTATTTGATTGTTTGCAGAGCAACAAGAAAACCAATCCAATATTATCTGTCTTCTCAGGGTGTCCAGCTTCACGTGGTGATGAGCCATGTTCATGGGTAGTGGTTGTGAATGCTTGCCTGCCAAATTCAGAGGTGTAACAAATTCAGGCTTGAGAAGCTTTTAGCTATGCAAAATGCCATGCCACTTGTCTCTCACAGCAAGGAGAGGGGAGGAAAGGGAGAGCTACGAGAACAAGCTCTCTTGTTATGTGATTACGGATATTGTCGATAATGAAGCTGATGATGAAAGAGAGATGAAGGGGTGGGACTGTCTGATCCCAATGAACGTACATATTGCTGCTCAGAGCTACTGCAAGAGAGGAGAAAACTCACCATATTAATCAATCAGCAAAGGAATATGAAAAGCAGATGAGAAAGTAGCAGGCCCTGCAGAGAACCTGTTTAAATTCCACATTCTTAAAGTCTGTGTCTACTTACTATCAGGTTTGCATTTCCTATTTTATGACATTCTGGCCCAGCTTGCAGATAGGGAATTAATTCAGTAGAAATTTATGCAGAAAGCTGTCTTCCTGTGCTCATGAAATAAATCTTTAAAACAAAAGATGCCAATACCAGAGGCTCACCAATATCTAGGATTTTATCAGGAGTCTTTCAATGCCTGGTACTTCCAGAAAATCCCAGTCCCAGTGATTATGTGGGGACAATGATTTTCTTCCCTAAAAAAACATTTTATAGCATTCAGTTGTTAAGAAAAATTCCAAACAGGGAGTCCAAAGAGCTAAACCCAAGGCAGCAGGTGAACTGGAATATTTAAATGCAAATAATTTGTTTTAAAAAATCCTTTAAAATACCAGGCCAAACTTATGTTTTAGGGATTGGTTCAATAATGTATAAGAAGTCAGTTTCTAAGGCTTTTCTTTAAATAAGTCAATAAGGGATCTTAATATTATTGGGGATAGTGGAGGCAGAAAAGGGAAATGAATGTTGGGAAAAAACAAATTACAAATAACCCACTCATTTTTGCCAAAAAAGGTTAATCAGCTGATGCATTTGTACAGTAAAGCTCTAAATTCAAAGCACTGTAAACCTGCCATGAGGAAAATTCAGTTCCCAAGCTTATCTCCAATTTTTTGAGTCCAGATCTCTCAACCAAGCAAGATGGAACTCATTTTTGCAGGAGGAAGGGAGGATCAGAACTTGCAATTTGCAAATACAAGTAATAATTTGTTCTATTTAAGTCTGTGTGATTAAAGGAATAATTATATACTGTCACTTAAAATATCAAACTGTTTTCAGTTTCTGCAGAACTCAAATTTCCAAAACTAGGTTTAAAAAGAAAACTGAACTTTCACTAAATAAATCCCTCCTTATATTTTTTATCTTCCTCTGTAGGAGGTAACTGAAATATTTTCACATTTAACTTAAGAATCAAATATTACCATGTTTGAATGTTCCTGGTGATGAAGGAATGGCAAATAATACAGCTGCATTGATTTTTATCTTATTAAGTCAGTTTTGAAAAACATTGATCAATCTTCAGCATCGATTTTTTTTCCTTCATTTTGTTTTGATGCTGGAAAATAAGATCAATTTTTGAGTTCAGCAATAAGAAGAAAATGTCAGAAGATATTTTTAAGAATGCTTTATCCACATAGGTTAAACTTTTCCTTTTGATTCTAATACCTTGTGTTATAAGAAAGCATTTAAGAAGTAGTGTTTAAATATACACCCACTCCAACACTGTTTTGCTGAGGAAAGACTTAAAGAGATAGTTGTTATTTGCCACATCTTACTGAAATGAATAGAAGTCTGATTGCCAGGAATTCATACACCTAACCCCATTCAAGGTTGTGAGATGCTAGAATCAGTAGTCAAAAATCTGCAAGCTGAAAGCACATGAACAGCATCAAGAGAAAAGCAGTAGCTTCACTGCGTGCATGGATACCCCGGTACAGAGAAAATTACTTCTCCAAGTGCTTTTCAGACCATCTTGAATAGATGTGTGCAATAAATGTACACTCAAAAATAGATACCAAGGAACAAAATGTTATGAAAGAGAGACAGAATGGGGACTAATCTTCAGTAATACATTCTGAAGGTATCTAAAGGAGGGAAACCTGGACCTTGTTAGGCAGAAACTGAGCATTGAGGAGAAGCATAAAGTGAGTTAACAAGATTCTGGGGAAGGATAAGGAATTAAAATTAAGCTTTGAAAAACAAATTAAGAAAAATATAGTAAACAGGTCTTGGAAACTGCTGAATAACTAGGACATGTGAGAGGTAATGGGGAAGGAAAAGAAAAAGGAATGAGTTGTCAGATTGAAGGACAAAGCAAACTTACTCTGGTTTAAAGAAATCAACTGAATAATTTCATTACTAGACACCATTGATTTTCTAAAAGGTGTACTTCCACCCGTGCTTGCTGTGAGATCTAGGACTACAGAGGGACAGGATTTTTTGAGATCTGGCCAACTGCTCTATGATACCTCCTTCACTACCTAGATCTTGTTTTCAAGGATCTTCTGATAAAACACCTTTTTTTGTACCAGCTTTATTTCTCTGATTACTCCATAGATGGCAGCACACACTTGAAAGCAACAACAGCAGCAAAAAACTAAATACAGATGTCATAGTGTTACCCAGGGAAAAGGAAAAAAACACAATCTGTTTTAGTACATAAACATCTGGGTGAAGAAAATGGTATATAGAGAAAAGACTTAGGGAATGAGTGAAAATCAACACAATCACCGAAGACAGCAGCAGAGAGAAGGAAGAGAAAAGGAACAAGGATGAAACAAAGCTGAGAACACTTATGTTTAAAATCAAATATGACTGGCAATAAAGTAAAAACAAAGTTCTGGAAATATTTCTACTAATCATTAGTTGTGTAAGAGCTTGACTTAACAATAATAAAAGCTTTTAGGCTGAGATTTTGAGCAAGATAAATACAGACAATTTTTCTAAAAGGATGTACTTAAGAAGAGTAATTTTGTTATAAGCCTAAAATATCATCAATTGTCTTTTCACATAAATACACATAGTGCCAAGTTGCTATTATGTGAACGCTATTCAGAGAACATTTTCTGAGCAAACCAGGCTTTTGGTTGCTGTTGAAAATAAAAGTATCCACAGTTCCAGCAAAAACATGTATGTCTGAAACCTCTCATATGTCATATCAATGACTGCTTAAACATATAGAGAAAAATAAACAAATTAATTATGCTTCAAAATAATACTGAAAACTGTTGGACCCAGTCGTGACAATCCCTCCCATCAAAGTTTGTATTGTTCCTGTGCTGAAATGGATAGACTTCAGCAAATCAGTTATTTTCAAGATAGAGCCCTACCAAGGGGAACACTTAATAAAAGAATGACTTTACAGTGAATAAAATCCCAGGCAAGAAAGACAGAATGTATTGTAATCATTATTAGACCCAATTAATGAACACATATGTTTCAAACCGATTTATGATATGGGTACAGAAGGAAATCCCTGTGGAGGTGAGTGCCAGTAAACTGCAAAGAGTTACTATACCCTGAGGTTATACATTTAAATGGTTGCTACTGTATATCGAATGTACAAATTATCCACAGACAGCAAACTATTC